AACAAAATTGTTTTTGAAGAGCGTGAAAGAAAATATCTCCGGAAAATGATCAAGTCGTTATTAAAACTACAAAAATGCCGCAGATATCTGCTGTCCTACAGATATGATCGGTGCAAAATTAGAACAGTGGCAGAAAGATGGCAAGCATTTTACAAGAAATATGTCCTAGAGAAGAAGAACAAAAGAAGTATGCCAAAAAAATTAGCAGAAATGTTTACGTAGCTAGGATAAGAGAGAATTACTATAACATTATTATTAGTGTAGATTTACAAAATCTTACAAGGGCAGGTGTGGGGGGAGGGGGTGGTTTGGAGCACTTGTAATTGAAATCTTGCTAAAGGTCTCATCAACAGACGGTAGGATTTAGCTGTACAACACTAATTAAATATATGATGTACTATTTTCAAAGAAATACAACACTTGCATTCAGACCATAAATCTTTATTGTATGAATCACCAGATTTCCCTCCAAAACAATTCCATCCGAATAGATTTCTTACAGAATTTTATTCACTATTATTACTGGGGAATATGAGGTAAAATGTTATATAATTGTGGCATTGACCCAATTTTAAGAAATACTAATTAAGGGTAGGCCAGTGGTAGAGCATGGGCGGAGGCATTTAGGAAATGCAAATGCTTCTGGAATGTATAACATAACTGAGCATTCTACACGTCATGTATTTTTGGTTCTCATGGTGAAAATTTATCTTTCTGCAGAAGAGCTTAACTAGAACTATTGCGCCTGGAATGCGATTTCATACCCCCACCAATGTCCCTTGGACAGAAGACCAAACTTGGAAAAGGTGGTTTAAGGAATAAACTTTAGGGCACACAAATACATATAAATAAAAAGAAAAACCTCCGGTGAAAAAAAAAAAGACAAATGAAAGTAAGGTAAATTTAAATATATTTTCTCAAAATCATCGTTCGGGAAACATTTACAAAAAACCTTTCATTTTCCCAATGTAACTAAGACATTTTCTAAGTCAATTTTTGACCTTCAAGTTGTTGGCCTTGACCTTAAGCTTGCACAAGGTGAAGATGGTTCTGACAATTGCCCAAGTTGGGATGAACATTTTGAAGTAAAGTTTGAAGAAAATCCTTTCCATAAGTATAGAATTTATAGAGCGGACACCACATATTGTCTATATTGATTGTATTGTAAATTTTTTAAAGACTTAAAAAGGGGCATAACTTTGTTAAAATGCATTACAGAGTTATGAAACTTGACCTGCATATCTTAATTGTGACACTTCATATATATTTTAAGTTTCAAGCAAATACCTTTTCTAGTTTCAGAAATATTCAAATACATGTTAAAATTTAAGAATATTTTCTAAGTCAATTTTTGACCTTCAAGTGTGACCTTGACCTTAAGCCGGCAAAAGCCGGCAAATACCTGTGTTAGTTTCAGAATATTCAAGTACATGTTAAAATTTAAGAACATTTTCTTAGCACAAAGGTAACATAGATTCTACACATAACCTTGTTGAGGTGAACATTTGAGTAAAGTTTGAAGAAAATTCTTCTATTAGTATAGTTTATAGAGCGGACAAGACATATTGTCTAATATTTGATTGTATGTAAATTTGAAGACTTAAAAAGGGGCATGACTTTGTTAAAATGCATTACAGAGTTATGAAACTTGACCTGCATATCTAATTGTGACACTTCATATATATTTTAAGTTTCAAGCATATACCTTTTCTAGTTTTAGAAATATTAAAATACATGTTAAAATTTAAGAATATTTTCTAAGTCAATTTTTGACCTTCAAGTGTGACCTTGACCTTAAGCTGGCAAAAGGGTGACATGGGTTCAGCATATTACCTTGTTGAGGTGAACATTTGAGCCAAGATTGAAGAAAATCTTTCAATTAGTGTAGGACTTACAGAGCGGACACAACATACTGTCTAATATTTGATTGTTTGATATTTGACTTTCAATTGTGACCTTGACCTTGAGCTGACACATGGGCTACATGGGTTCTGCACATTTGCCTTGTTAAAGGTGAACATTCCAGCCAAGTTTGAAGAAAATCCTTCAATTGGTATAAGGATTTATAGAGGGGACAAGAAAATTGAGACGACGGACGGACGCTACAAAGCGAATCCATTATAGCCCCCCCCCCCCCCCCCCCAATTTTGTGGTGGGGTATAATGATGAAAACTCCTCCTTTTTCCAAAAAAAAAAGTCTATAATAATTTTTTGGGAGTAATTTGGGATTCCAACATGCCACAACTTGGGGGTTCCCAAGAGTTTTTCAACATACTTTTTAAGCCATCTTACTACTTTGTTTACATTTTAGGCCTATTTGTTCTGGAATTTCATTCATTAAACACATTTATGATCAGGGGGTAATTGGGAAATGTCACCTGTCATCATAGGAGGTCTGTACAACTAGAATTAAGAGATAAAACATGTCCTATCCTGTAAATCTAGTATGAAGTTGTACGAATTCAAAAAATTATAGCCTTCACACATTAAGATTTGCTTGTACATCTAATTTTTTTAATTGGTGTTGTACTTTGAAATCCTACCGTCTGTTGAGGCCTTAAGGTAGCACACCTCTAATGTGTACTATAAGGAACTGTAAATCTGACAAGGAAGCTGTTCTTAATTCCATAAAGAACACTGTCACCTGTGTGCAAAAAATTTATCAAATTTATCATACAGTTGGGACCTATTGACACTTTTCTGATTGTAAGCTTGGGTATTTGAAGGGCTCTTTTTCAGAAATTAGTTGACTCTAAATAATCTGTAATATCATCAGTCTGAAAAATGTTTTCCAACTGAGTACTTTTAAAGGAACAAATTGTAACATTCAGCAAACAAATTTCATGCAAATGACTTATTTTAAACACTTGTTTGACCATTTTCCTGCTTAGAGAGCAGAATTTTTTTTTAAATCTCTTAACTTTTCTTAATAAGGGCTGTTTTTAAAATTTACTAAAATTTTCTTTGAATTCTATTGGTTTATCTTGTAAAATATAAACCGCTTTTTCTGTGTAATTTTGATTTTATAGACTCTGAAAATATCAGGTACCATATTTTTGTCTATCAAATTTAGTACAATGTATTACTTAGCTACTAAATACCAATGATATTTATTTAAGATTAAACACTCATTACTTCTAGTCTATCTAAATACTGTTCAAGTCAAAGGCAATGTATTAGAAGTGTGATACTGTAATTCAACATTCTTCCTTTACATTTTGATTACTGTTTTCAAAATCATTATGATCATTCATTTTAATAAATTTCTACCTATGTTTCACATGTACATATTTTCATCACAAAAATGATTGTTTGGTTTAAACATATTTTATTTGATATATTTACATTATGATGAACAATATTTACACAATATATTAGGGTTTGGGCAGAAAGCTATGAAAGCTTATGAGTGTCCTGTCCCAGATATTTTGTTTAGTTCTGAATCTGTAGCAATGCAATATAAACATTTAGGGCAAAGATGAAATAAATCTATTTGAGAATAAATTGTTCAATAAGAACCATTAATGGACACTACTTCGCAAAATTTACCTTTTTAACAAGGTCACAATTTAGCTTTTAAGTGTTATAATAACTTCTTATGATGAATTATTTCATGACCATATTCAAAACACTCATATTACCCTCTGCAGATCCCAATTTTTATGCTTACACGGGTACATTGACGGCACAGTTTGTGAACATTATCTTAGTGAACCAACAAAAATATCTCAATTTGTATAAGTGTAGCCATACAAATTATTGTACCTTACAGAAACTTACAAATAGATCAAACAATGCCTGTAAATGTTATTGTTGTCATTTATGTGGAATTGTATCAGGAAATCAACACTGTACAATTATTAACTCTAGACTGAACCACTTTTATTCTGTCTGTAATTAGTGGTGGCATGGCTGAGTGGTTAACATGTCATACTAGAAATCTAAAGAAAGCTGGCTGTGTGGATTTAAACCCCGTCAGCGCAAGCCATTGTTTCTGTGAGCAAGAAAGTTGACACTGACATTGCTTAGTACTGGTTGGTTCCTGGAACGGATTCGAGAGTGTTTCAATATGCTTATAGGAACGGATTTGAGAGTGGTTCATAAGCTTAAAGCCTCCAACACAATCAAACTAAAATAATTTGGTATAAACTAAACTGTCATAATAAATGACACTTGAAGTGATATCCTGTTGCAGAAATCAAAGATCTCAAGGACCAGCACTTTAATTGGGAGAATATGTGACCAGAAAGAAGAGCTACTAGTCCTCTGATTATATAAAATAAACTAATAACTGTTCTGATAACCAAATGTGTAATATTAAAGTTACCTCATTCTGGACATCTATTATGTTATCTGGGGTTTCCCTAGAAATTTCGCACAATGGACCCACATGTCTGAGACTTTGAGAGTATATTGAAGTTTTTAAGTTAGTCCTTATATCAATATTATACTTTCAGGGAGTCCTTGGTATGCACTCCTGTTGAAAAATGGAAATAAATGGCCAAAAAGTGCATCAGAGACGCAGAAAACCTGTTTAAGGGAAAACCCTGTGTTAGATCAAATATATGTAGATAAGCTTGATTGTAACAAGAGCTTTAGGCATATTTGAACAATCTCATGTCCACTTCCTAGAACTAAGCAGTTCTGGTGTCATAAATGGAAACATAGCAGAGCTGTTTCCCTTCCATAGCAGAGGCCATTTATAGGCCTTTTTTTCCCAGAAAAACTTTTTAAATCATGCAGTTTACCTAAAACATTCAACTGAAATTGGTTTTTACTTCCCCTTTTGGAAAAGTGCTTTGTTATATTTGCCCAAAATCAAAAGGAGAGGGCTCCTTCCCGTACCTGTGAAAGAAAGACCTGTATTTGGCCCAGCAGGCCACAAATCCACTGTTCATAGTATGAGAATTAAATATCTTTTCTACAGTAACTCCCTAAGGACAGGTATTATAGCTGTTTAGTTAAAAAAACTGTTACCCAGAATAGATTAAATCACTTACTGTAATCCTGGAATGAGAATACATCTTTGGTTTATTCCTTATGTCATTCTTTATTCCGGCTGAAGTCTGGTGATAGAATATGAAAATCAAATTTGATATCAATGTTTTTTTCACAGTAAGTTAACAAAATTACATTTTGCTAATAAAGCACATGCCTGGCACATTACTAGAGTTGCCACAGCATTGATGAAGACCTGAACCTGACCTATATGGCACCAAATATAATGTATTGCAATTTTTTAAGAGCAAAACATTTAAGTTAAGTTTTTATAAAAAGTAATTTAAAAAAAGAATAGAATTTTTTTGTGCACTCATTTAATTTTTTTCTAATTTTGACTTTCAAAGACATTGGGCCTGCACAGTGACAGTGTGGGTTTTGCAAATTGCTTTGCTGAGATGCACGTTAGCCAAGTTTGAAGAAATCCTTCAGGGGTAAAGGACAAATGAAACTATCTGATTATTTGGCCTTTGGAACCATAAATGTGACCTTGACCTTAAGCATGCACACAGTGACATGGATTCTGATTATTTCCTTTTTGAGGTGACAAATTGCAATACTTTAGACTGCAACTTACATCAGTTATACCCATGGGCAACCTCTCAAATGCTTTGCAACAGCTGTATCTTTCTCTACCTGCAATATCAAATTAATAGCAAAATCTTACAAGAAATAAATATTCACTACTACCTTTGTAAATCGAATGTAGTAAAAAATTTAACTGTTATATCAAATCAATAGGCAAAATCTTACAAGATAAATTTGTAAATTGAATGTAGTATAAAAAATTTAACTCTTATATCAAATCAATAGCAAATATCTTACAAGAAAATAAAAATTTATTACTAACCTATTTAATGTGATATACATGTAGTATAAATCTAGATTGAATGACTTTACAGTAAAATACAGAATTAATCTTTTCTTTTATGCCTAAATCATCATATTCAAATAAGTATGCTTCACAAAAACAAAATCACAGAAACAATGATTAACAAAATTTGTAGAGTTGTTCCTTTGTTTGTGTTTACACCCTTCTTAAAACATTTTATACATACCATTTAGTCAATTCTTAAGTTAAATCAAAAAAAGATCTCTTTATTTTTCTACTTTACCTCTTTTTTCTGTTTAGTGATTTTCCTGGATTTCCTTCTAGTTAAAGACTTGGTTCTTTTCCTACCCCTCCCACTCATACTCTGAAAGGAGGAATCATCTGTACTTGTGCTAGTACTTACTGCTGAAATCAAAATGGAGAGACTGCAATGTTTCAGTAAAAATGGTTTTAGGTATCGTGTAAGAATTTTCTACAGGCCTACTTACCAATTTCATTGACAAAGGTATATATGACATCAATAACAAAGGTATATGAAATCAATGACATTTGTTTAGGTAAAGTGTACACTTGCAAAACTGTCAGCTTTTTGCCAGCAATTACTATTGAAAAAACAAAATGTTAGGTAATCTTTATATGACAAAGAGACTCACATAGAAATAATGATCTTGGTAATTTTTTTTTTTGATAATTGGAAAAACACCCAAATAACTGAAATTTAAGATCCATTCAGAAAGAAGAATGAATTTTATAAAACTGCAATACCATTATAGCATCTAAAGCATTAATTCTGCAAATGACCATTCTTATCATACAATATTCTATTTTTTTTAAACTAATAACCAAGTGGTTTGTAAGAAAACAAGAACCGGTTGAACCGGTTGATGCTCCCCCAGAAGGTTCTGGACACAGGAAAGTGTAAAACAATGAACAAAGGTCAAAAACTCCAAAATTAGGCAAGGAGGAGTTATGTTTTTTTGCACTGCACCTCTATTCAATGAGATCTATCTATCTATAAAGTTTCCTGATGATATCTCTTATAGTTTCAGAGTTATGTAGCGGGTAAAATTCTAAGTGTAAAAATGAACAAAGAGCAATAACTCCAAAATTAGACCAGGCTTTGTTTAGGTTCTTTAAGCAGTGCAGTTCTATCCAATGATATCTAGCTAACTACAAAGTTTCATGCTGATATCTCTTATAGTTCGGACAAAAGTCAAAAAGTAAAAATAAACAAAGGGCAATAACTTCAAAATTAGGCAAGGCAGAGTTATGGTTCTTGTGCACTGCACACCTTCTCAATGAGATCTTTCTACCTACAAAGTTTCATGTTGATACCTCTTATAGTTTTAGAGTTATGTCCGAGACAAAGTTCAAAGAGTAAAAATAAACAAAGGGGGATAATTCAAAAATTAGGCAGGGCAGAGTTACGGTTCTTGTACACTGCACACCTACCAAATGAGATCTATCTACCTACAAAGTTTCATGTTGATACCTCTTATACTTTTAGAGTTATGTCCCAGACAAAGTTCAAAGTGTAAATATAAACAAACAGGGATAATTCAAAATTAGGCAAGGCAGATTTACGGTTCTTCTGCACTGCACACCTACTCAATGAGATCTATCTACCTACAAAGTTTCATGTTGATACCACTTATAATTTTAGAGTAATGTCCTGGACAAAGTTCAAAGTGTAAGAATAAACAAAGGGATGTAATTCAAAAATTAGGCAAGGCAGAGTTACGGTTCTTGTGCACTGCACACCTACTCAATGAGATCTTTCTACCTACAAAGTTTCATGTTGATACCTCTTATAGTTTTAGAGTTATGTCTCGGACAAAGTTCAAAGTGTGAAAATAAACAAAGGGGGATAATTCAAAAATTAGGCAAGGCAGAGTTACGGTTTTTATACACTGCACACCTACCAAATGAGATCTATCTACCTACAAAGTTTCATGTTGATACCTCTTATACTTTTAGAGTTATGTCTCGGACAAAAGTTCAAAGTGTAAAAATAAACAAAGGGGGATAATTCAAAAATTAGGCAAGGCAGAAGTTACGGTTCTTGTGCACTGCACACCTACTCAATGAGATCTATCTAGCTACAAAGTTTCATGTTGATACCTCTTATACTTTTAGAGTTATGTCCCGGACAAAGTTCAAAGTGTAAAAATAAACAAAGGGGAATAATTCAAAAATTAGGCAAGGCAGAGTTATGGTTCTTGTACACTGCACACCTACTCAATGAGATCTATCTACCTACAAAGTTTCATGTTGATACCTCTTGTTGTTTTAAAGTTATGTCCCGGAAAGAAAAGCGACGGACGGACGGACTTACTTAGCAGACGTGTTTGTGGGGTTATTCCTTTGATCTCTTAACCCCACAAGAGCAAATTTTTTTAACCCCATAAGAGCATTTTTAACCACATAATACATGTCTCTACGGAATGAACCCCATACAGAGTGCCTGTACATAAACCTAAACCTCATAATGTAGCTCTCGTCTGCTCGGATGGACGGACGGACAAGGCGGCGACTATATGCTCCCCCGAAATTTTTCGGGGAGCATAAAAATCTTGTTTTTTAGGTCTCTCTAAGTATACAGCCTTGACTAATAAGAACTGATTCCTATGAAGTATGACGTCCAGTGGCATATTAATATAATACAGACTTCCCGAAATACGTCGGTCCGACGGACATGTCCGATAAATTTTGACAAGGTCCGGCGATTCTATATTCCGGATCGGTCCAACTGTCCGGCTTTTATCCAAGCCGCATATATACAAAATGGCGTCGCTAAAGGTGCCAAACCTGGGAAAAAACGAAAATCTATGTCAGAGGAGCGCCCAGAACAGCAATAAAAGTATGAAAAGAATACACCTGAGACAAAATTTAATGAAAAATGGAAGCAGGACCATGAATTGTTGGTGTACGACACGGAGGAGGTGAAAATGCACTGTACAGACTGTGCTGATTTTTACGGTGTAAAAATTAAAACCAAAAAGTGTTTTAAAAATACAAACACAAGTTTTCCTTTGATTTTGATTAATTTTATTTGGTCTGACAGATTTTGTTTCGGTCCGACAGATTTTCATGTCTAATGTCTGACACTTTTTTTAACTTTCGGGAAGTCTGCTCATTCAATCTATGCCTCAGTTAATAAATGAAAAAATAAAGACAAGTAATTCTTTGAAATAATACCGGTACCTCTATGTTTCTTTTGTTTTTTATGCTTTGATTTTTCAGTTGGTCTTGGTTCAGCTACTAGTAATGCACCACCTTTACCTGGTGTTGACAATCTAGCTTGGAAAACTACAAATATAGGAAATATTCTGTCGAAGAATTATAAAGAGCAGAATCTAAATTAAATACAACGATACAACAATGTCATAAATAATATCCAATTTATTGGAAAGGGAATTGATTGCTGCTGGTTTTTGTGTCCAGCAACTTTTATTCGATTTTACTCAATTGTCACAGAATCACTACAAATTACATTTCAGCACAGTAATTTTGTAACTCCAAATCATTCAGTAGGCAACACAATACTTAAAAAAAGATATGTTTGCAAAACGTGGCAACCAATTAGTCATTTGGCCAAGTTATTGTGACTGACTTTTGACCTAGTGAAAACCAAAAATTCAATAGGGGGGTTTATCTATTGGTCATTGTGACCTTAAAAGGTTTTGTGCAGCAATTTTATGACAAAGTTAAACAAAATCTCTTACCAAATAATAAATGCATAAATTTAATAAATCATGTAGGCTCCTTAATTCCTTAATAACAGCAAATTTGTTATATTACATTAGACCTTGAAATGTGTATACCAAAAGCATTTTTAGTTTAATAAAAAATATCAACCAAGGCAACTTAAGTTGTTTTAGTTATTGATCTGAAACTGTTTTTACGTACAAGGTCAACATGATTTTGACCTTTGACCCTTCAATCAATAGGGCTTATCTACTGGCCAAGACAAATGCACCTGTGAAATTTGTAGGTAAAGGGCCCATGAGTTGTTGATACAGTTTGAGGGCCAAGTGGCCATGGGTTGTCAAGTTATTGATCGGAAACCGTTTTTACCTACAAGGTTGATTTGCCAAACAAAGCTTGTGTTCAGTGTTTATTCTAGGATTAAAAAAACAGGGGGGATTTTTATCGAAAAGTGAGAATTTATTACATTTGTTGATTTTTTCCCTTTTTTCTCTATGTAAAATTTTCCCCCTGCCTCTGAAAAAATAGGGGGGAATTCTAAAAAAAACAAATAAAATGGGTGAATCCCCCCCATCGCCCTCCTAGAATAGACACTTTGTGTTTAGGTTATGTATGATTTGGCGCACTTTTTTTAAAGCTCTAAAAGCATTATTAATATTGGAATATGGGTGTGACTGGAATGTGCATGAAAAAATGCTCTATAAAGTGCGTGATTTATACATAACCTAAAAACAAGCTTTGATTCTAGGTTTTGGGGTTTGTTAAATTTATGTTAAACAAATTGATTATGAGAAGTTTTTAGCGCTCTCCTTGCATTGGTGAGGTTTTCTATTGCATCTGCAAAGTTTATTTTGAAATTAAATAAAAAAATGCCCGGATGAGAAGCATAGCCAATACCTGACAAGTAGAAATTTGAAGCCACTCGTCCTGCAGGATCCCTGCACGATTTCAAAGAAATTAATGGTGGTCATTCACAATTCAAGAAAGCAAGGACCTCTTTACACTTATGGGGAAAAAAAACTTTGAAATTCCGTAAAAAAAAAATCTATTTCTATCCATTTCAAGTTTCTTTCCATTTTTTCTTCCATTTTAACAACCCTAAGAAATTAAATTCATATTTTAATAAATCATCTTTGTTAAAAAGCAACAAAATCATCTCACAATAAATTTTTAAACCAGAAGCACCATTGCAGTGTTAACATTTGCAGCAATTCTGAAAAAATCTAGGTAAAAAAGGGGCATAACTCAAATATAAGATTTTAGAATTGTGCCCCTTTGTCAAACAACTGGCACAAATGTCATGATAAAGCAAGCAATTCAAAGTTTTCATGTACATAATTTTTAAATGTTTGAATAAATTGGCTACATTAACATCATAACTAGCTCTACTTTTTTCTTCAAAATGAAATGAAAAAAATATAGATAATACCTTTGAGAATACTGTCCCGAATCTTTTTCTGTTCCTCTTCTTCTGACACTCTGGTACGCTTTTTTCTATCTCGTGAACTTCTACCCATTGAACATGATTTCATTAAACACTGGAAATAATAATTTATTGTTGTACATTGTTTATATATTTTTGAAAATCATGGCATCAATTTTATAATTCATGTGATACAATCGCATGGTAAGGATAAAAACGAAAATGTGTACTTAATGTGACAAAACCTCTTAAGGAAAGGCACTGTGTATAGCAATAACCTCATTATAACATCAGTAGCAAGTTTAATACAGCAGAGTATGGCAGGAGGTGATAATCAGCCCACCTAAATGAATAATGGCCTCACAAGGGCTTTAGATGATCATGGTTTTGTATTTGTATGTTATAGTGTGTACAGTATACAACCATTGGCACATGAAAAACCTTAGGTTAATCCAGCTTGCTGAAAGAGTTTAACCATAATACCAACTTCCAAAACACATAAATGGGACATAACTGGGAGACTTTTCTCAGCTTTGACTTGGTAATGCACGAGTCAATTATTACTTCTGTTTGTCCACCCCTGGGGAATAACAAAGACTTTGCCACTGTACTTTTAAATCCCTAGTAAATGCCTTGCCCTGCAGAGAATGTCAGATGAAAAACTCCCTGCTAAAAGCCTGCATGGCACTGTGATTTGGACATATCCACCAGGTCAACTTGGTATAAAAACCACAGCAATGCCAGGTCAATACAGGGAAAGATGAAAGGTCAGTGATTATTTAAACAATAAAAATGTTACATACTTTTGTATGTGATATCAGTATGATTGCATCGGCTAACAGTCATGTGAAATAAATGCCCATTCATTTTTTTTGTGGGGGGGGGGGGGGGGTAGGCGGTTAATTCATGAGTTATACATGTTTAAGCATTCGTTACAAAAGAATTATTTCACAGTATATCAAAAGAACTACAATATTCTCTGAAGTCCAATTTGCAGTAAACTATGCCACTGCATCAATTGCAAATTGTATGCAAAACTTCCAAAACTAAAGTCTATAACTCTACCTATAATCAGGTAGTCCTTGCATTGATTTCATACAACTAATATTCAATTAAATTGCACTTTTCATGCAGTATTTAATAAATCTGAAAAAAATTATATATAACAAGTTGCAGACAATTTCTTTGCTATTTAAAAACTCCATGTAGTGGAAAATTTCTACTTTCTTTTTATCATTTGCATAGTCAATGTTCAGATAATTTGCAAATCCCCTTTTCACCTTTAATCATTGTGCATTTTTCAATAAAACAATTATTTCAACAACTTTTGATACCATAAAAATAACTAGTACAGTCATAAAAATTGCCAACACACTGCATATCATCAATTTCAATGACCTCTGTTGACAAAGACACTAAGTAAGGGACTAAGCAAGAACCTGTATGACATAATTCATACAAACCCCTTCGAGTACAGACATATACTGGAACATCACTGTTAACATAATTTCAATAATTCAAGATTACATTTTTCGTTTCATTTCTTTCTAACTTAAATTCTTTTAGAATAAAAAAACCTGTGAAAATCACTTTTATTGGTTTTTGAAAAAAAAAAGATCCTGGTGTCTATTCCAGAGTAAAGCGCCTCACTTCATGAATGGATACTATATGACAGATTCCTGGTGGATTTTCTCTTAAACGTACCAATCATATCACAGTATAAAAACAGGTAAACATCAGAACCTTAAGCTATGCAAACCAAATCTAGAGATAAATGTAATCAGAATCGTTGCAAGTTTTGCTAAAGGAACTAAATATGAAGGAGTTGATATCACGTTGTAGTGTGCATAGTACTAACAGAAACACGATTATGTTATAGGACCAGGGTCTTTCAAATAGAATGGTCTGGAGTCAAATCAATTTTACGAAAAAAAATGTCTCGGTTGAGTCACGCGATTAGGTTGTCTACCCAGCATGATCTGGCATAGTACATCAACATTCAAAAATCAAATTATAAGATAATGTTTTGTTAAATTGATTAAAAGATTACTGAAAACTAATCCTTGTTATATTACATTATCAGTTTTTACTTTAAAAAGTAACAATATCATAGATTTGCTAAGTAGGATTTATTTTTTTCCCAGTGTCAAGATAAAAATCTATTGCTCATATTTGAAAATAGGGAGTTTCAGAAGTTTTTTTAAATTTATGCATATTATAGTTCAATGACAAAATTTATTTTACATAGAAAAGTGTGATTTAATTGTATCATTTAAAATTTTTATAATATTTCACGATGTTATTTACAAATATTTGATGTTTAATTTGGTGCATTTTCAAAATGTTACCCGATACCGTTCATCGGCAAATATTTTTAACAAGCAATCTTCTGTTTTTCAACAAATATGACTTTAAAAACATTTTTTTTTTCTGAAATATTTATATTTTTTTCAAAAGTTAAAAGATTTTTAAAGAACATCATGTTGTTAGAATTTCCATTTTTGCCCCTGTATTTAATTATTGGCCTTTTCATGAACACTTACATAATTTGCGTAAAGCAAACTATACTGAATTCTGCCAAGACATGTTTAATTGTAATGAGATGGGTTTACATAGCGTGTTGCCAGACCATTCTATTTGAAAGACCCTGATAGGACTAACTCCAACTCGGTCTTATCAACGCAACTCCAGGGCTGCCAACAGCAAATTGCAAAATCAGCGGAAAATATGCCGGGGGTCAAGGGGACTGCTCAAGCCCCCTTTGCGGGTCCAGGGCAGAGCCCTGGTGGGGGAGCAGGGGGCGAAGCCACTGTAAGCTCCTGGATTCTGATGATTTGGTATGCCCTAAAATCAATTTCCTGGACTCTAAATTTGACAAATATCCGACATTTTGACGCATTTTGACAACAGACAAGAGCGACAATGTAAACTGTAATTTGATTGGTTATTCTAAAATAGAATGCCGGAAAAGACTCGATATGACCAATGAGAAAAGCGCTTACAGACCTACCATAGGCGGCTAGCGTAACAATAAAAGCCGAAGCGTGCCGGTTTTTGGGTACTGTATAAAGTATGACGAATGAATTTATTGTCTTTGTCGAATTTACATCGATCTCAAAACTGACCCAGGAGCTCACGAAATATGCGGATTTCCGCGGAATCCGCGGAAAATCGGCAGCCCTGAACTCTTTGTCACGGTTCAGAACTGTTGATGATGATGCGTATGCAACCGGATTGCTCATTCGGTATAGCCGCGGTACGGTATTCCGAGGGTCCTGGGTTCAAGTCCAGGTCAGACTGCACATTTTTCTCACCCTTTGACATTTGGCGCTCAACAGGGGACCGTGACTATATATAGCTAAGAGTTAATTCATATCGCTCTGTTAAACTCTGTGAAATTTGAGGACAAATTTCAATATAGCAGGGGAGTACGTCACAGTTCAGAACTGTTCACTATTTAGGGGTGATAATGTGTAAGCGGTCGGATAGCTCAGTGGGTAGAGCCGCGTTACAGTACTCCGAGGGTACTGGGTTCGAGTCCTGGTCAGGCTGCACATTTTTCTCACCCTGTGAGACGTACTCTCAGAATTTTATCATGTGCGGTCATGCAATTTGACCTGCTTCACATAAAATATTAATTGTCAAATTCACAAATGAAATTTAATGAAGACATATAGAAAATGTTAAGTATGTCAATAATACAGTGACCCATGCTAACACCAACAGGGAATATGAGAGCCGATTTCTCAGTTGTACAAAAGTTTTTTTTATATAGAATCTATTGTTAATTCAGATAAACGTCACATTCAAATCTGATAACTAAATAAAGGTTGGTTTGGACAATTTGTAAAATATTAAATTGAAAGATTCCTTACAGATTTGTTAGATTTAAACATATTTTATTGCCAAAAATAAGACATATACATACATGTAGACAGTTACAATACAATGACATGACATATTTGGCAAAAGGGTTGACCCACAAGTTCTCTCAACATTAGCAACGGGTCTTCCCTGACAGATTTGTTAGGGCTTTTTTGTGTTTTTTTTTTGTTTTTTTTTTTTTAATTTTTTTTAATAAATCTCTGAATTAAAAACCAAACATAAACATGATAAAACAATAATTGGTTTTCCATTTAACAATTAAGATATATATGCACAATGCGTTTTATTCTTACTGAGTAAGGGACAGAGATGGTTTTCCTGACCGTGAAGTCACAAAATTCGTCTGTATTCTCGCTTTGCAATAACTACGAAACTAACGCTGTTTTTAATGGGTATGAAATATGTATCAGACGTTGCTTTTTGATCTTGAATGAACGTGAAGCACATGTTTTAAATTCGCTATGACGAAAAATATTGTAAGATTTGTTAGTTCTTTAAAAAAAAAATATATTCGTAACTATAAATCAATAGTCCGTTTATAGCTCCGTATCAGGTGCGCGTGGCGTCACTATGGAAATGTTGGGTAAACAGGAAGCGGTGTACCTGTAAGTTTCTTTCGACAACAACACAAACTGTAATAAACTTGAAAACATTTCGTGTTAAACATGGCACTTACGGTGATTTCTGCGAAATACCCGCCACACATTGACCCAACAAAAACACCATTGGCCTATGGGGACAGAGCTTTACCAAGACTAGTAAGTTATATTACAAATTCATAATCATTGTCAAATGTGAAATGATTGAAGACTTTAATCTCTGGACTCATGTCTGAGCCTTATTATTAAATAGACATGAAGAACTGCTTTTATTATTATATGAAAAATGACTTTGGTAGTTTTCAGTTAAGCTGTTCTTATATAGTGTATATTAAGCTCTGCTAACTTACTTTATTCAGCATTAATAGTAGATATAAATTATTTACATTGCTTTTTACAGAAGTTTTGTTTTCAAAATATGAATGGCTGTTGAGGTAAATGTAACTAGGTTGATGTGTTTGTTCAGGTTGAGATCAGCAGTAATGTCAATGCCTAGATTTTTGCAATTGGGAGTGTTTAATAATCTTGAATATTAGACTTGAAATATGAATTGTTTCACATTTCCAAAGGTTGAATTCTACATTACATGTGTGTAGTCCAACAAATAAGATGTTGATTTGTGTGATATTTTTACTTATGGGCAATGCTTGATCTTAAAATATCAACAAGCTGATATTCTAAAAAAATATTTTGAAAGAGCATGCATGATGAACAGAAATTTCAACATACCTTAAATGAGAGTTAATTAAGCTGATTATTATGTTAGTAATAGCAACAAGCATTTATTCACATGTTAAACTTTTAAATAGAAGCAGTGGTTCCAATAAACTGGATGTTATAATATTTCAGAATGACAATACATGTAGTTGGATGATTCACAATATTACTGACTAACTGTTTTAGTAATTTGAGTATTTAACTACCTTTTTTAGAATAGGGAACTAAATGATGAGAATTTGATGACAAGACAAAGGGCTGTTATGTCACTCTGTGACCACTTGCATGACCCTGAACACATTGCAGAAGCTTTAAAAGTTGGTAAGAAACTTTTTGTACTCCTAGCCTTGAATTTTGAAATGAAGCCTAAATTTAATAAATATTGAAACCATGATTTTATTTTGCTATTTCAGTATTAATTTTCAATTTTACAGCACTGGTTTCATGTTTTATTATCACATTACCTATAAATAAGTGCATGCATTGTTGACAGTAATCAGAATTATTCCTGTTAAATTCAGGATTTTTAAACTCCCAAAAGCCATTTTTCTAAATAGACTGTAAACCAAATATGAAAAAGATAATTTTCAAAAATTTTCTAATATCCAACTTTCATCAACCTTGCTTATGTCATTCTTTTTTAAATTATTTTATACGGAGCTTTAACTGATAAAAGAAGATTTTTGTTATATTCAAATATTACATATTATAAGTGTACTTTAAAAAATACTCTGAAAATTTGATTCAAAGTTGTGATATACAAAACATTTAGCCATGATTGAACTTTTGACTGCAACATAGGTTTAGTTACATTTATATTTACTTTATAATCGTGTTATATAAGAATAGATAAACTTGTCTACAAATTTTAATATATTATGATGTATTCATTCTTCAAATGTGTTATTTTTAAAATTACAAATATAAAAGAATGCCTTTGATTTTATGTTTAATCTTTAACTTTCTATGCATGTCAATATCTGTACTTATGTATTTTCAAAGTGTCAGGAGCATAATTTGTGAAGTGATTAAAATTTGTTCAGACATGAATTTTCAAACTAATTTGAAGACTTGCAACTTGGATGATCCAATTTAATCCAGATATCATATGCATGTTTTTATTATCATTATTGCTTTATTCAATTGGCCTTTGATCAAAATATAAATCTTCTAGGTTTATCATCATTCTACGTTGTTTTTTTGTATGTGTTGAGATAATTTTGATGAAAAGTGCCTTGTTGATTTTACAGAAAATCTTGATTTAAAAGAATAATTTTAGATTTTGCTTAAATTTTGACAATGTGTATGTATGATAAAATAAAGCCAGTAGTAGTTAAATTTTGTTTGTCATATATGATACCATAAGTTTAGTAGCAATATTAACATTAATGTATTTTTATTTTAATTAAAATTACATGTGTCACAGTAGTCAGCCAGTATATTTTTGTAATGATTTCCTGTGAAGGTGCAGTGACTAAACTGAAATTCCCGATGGTGATGATACAGATTCTCAAAGGTTAATAGCAAATCACAAAGATATTAGGTAAATAAAATCCACTATATGAGACATACAGTAACAGAAACAAACTTGAGTTAAAACTTGTGCATATGATGTTGAAAATTCCTAGTGGAAAAAAATAGTCCTGAACAAGTCCTGTCATAGTTTTAGGTGATGAAAATCTATTTTTATATTTAATTAACAGGGATAGCAGAAAGTCTAAAAAAGTTGCTAACAGATGCAGATATCACTGTCCGACAAAAATCAACAGAGTGCTTGTATGTTATAGGATGTAAGTATGATTCTTCATTCTTTTTTTGTGAATGATAATTTCAATATATGATGAGTTTATGGTAGCGCACCATGAAACATTCACAAAATAGAAACAAGATGTATGTCTTTTTAAATGCCAATATCAAACAACATTTAAACAAAGAAAATAGAAGAGTTAAAACAAATTCTTATTTCCATTGTGGTCCTTTAAACTGCAGATATGAATGCCTGTTGTGTAGTGAACAAAATGTTTAACTAAAATTAGGAAGAATGCATGTATATATAAGATTATGTACAATGTATTTATTCGCTTGAAATTTTTCAACAGTTTTAATATTCATGTTGTTCAATAGTAATCTTTATAATCATTACAAATCATAGACTGGCATGTATGATTTTTGCTATATATGACTTTAACACTGTCACTGATATATAAAGTATTTCAATATCATAATAACTTATAAGTAATTAAGTTAGTAAGTAAGTAAATTGTTTATTATAGTGACACTGAATAAATATTACCCATAAGTACATGATAAGAATACATTTAAAGACACCTATCCCATTAGACATATAAGTCACACTAGCATAAATGTAAATATTATGAGTAGCCCTAGCCAACGGGATAGAGTCTGGTTTGACTGCACAGATGTTCAAGGCTAGCCTGGCTCTATACTGGTTGCCTTTGTCATTAAATTGTAAGACTGATTTGTAACAGAGATGTAATACAATATATCATTTCAGGTCATGCTATTGGAAGAGATGCATTTATTGAACATAATATAATTCCACCAGTATCAAAATTATTTGATGATAAAGTTGATGTTGCCAGGAAAAATGCTCATCAAGCTATTGAAATGATTTCTGAAACACCATTAGGTAAGTTATATTTTACACCCTCTCAATTGAACATTTTCTTTAAATAATTTGATAAATCTATTATGGCAAACCACATTACCAAAATATTCTCTGTTTTAGATTTTGAAACAATTATGTATTTAAAGAAAGATCCTTGGGTTATTTCATTGATAAGCAAATGATGCTGAACATTAAGTTTCCAATGATTGTTCAGTTATCAAATTTATTAAATTTTATGTACATTACATTAAGACTTAATATCTTATTCAGGATCACAAATTAATACACTTGTTACTATATATAGTAACAAAATTGCTCATGATTTCAACTGATTATGAGTGTCACGTGACCTATTATGAGTTTGCGACCCGGGGCCGAGAACTAGTTATCAGCCCGCAGAACTAATACACATGCACAAACTAACAATGACGTCAGATTTTACGTCATCAAACAGTTAACTGTAAAAGTGAAAGTAGGTTTTTAGCATGAATCGCTTGATTTAATTGTGAACACAGTTTTTTAACTATTTAAATTTAAATAAATAATACGACAAATTCATTCCGAAAAAAAAAAAGAAAGAAAATAATACTTGCTTCTAGATTCTAGTGTACTTTGTACACATAAAAAGTAAACAACTCAGTAGAAGTAACAGTACAGTATAAGTACAGACAGGAATTTCAACGAAAGAAATATCAAAGTATTTGTTTTAGAAAAAAGTTACTATTAGATCTACCAAGTGTATTAAAGACATTAATACACGTCATCGGTGTGCCAGAAGGTGATAATCGGCCCTGAAATGAATAATGCCCTCGGGCTGAAGCCCTCGGGGCCATTATTCATTTTGCGGGCCGATTATCACCTTCCGGCCCTACTCTGCCGTGTATTAATCTCTTAATATAAAGGGTTTAGATTATGTTTAGTTGTTTGCTTATTTTTAACATTATTTTGTTTCACCAGGTGCTGAGGGTATTGTTAAAGCTGATTTGATCGGAACTTTAGTCATGAAGTTAAAAAGTGAATTGGAAGAAATAAAGGTGCGTAACTTGTATGGATGATATATATTGCTTTAAATTAAGATATGTTTGAAGATATACATATTTGCTATGCGGTCATTGTTAATATGGTCAAGTGAGCACCAAAACAAATTTCAGACAGGGGACTCTATGGATGAGTGGTTAAGGTCATTTTGCCGCTCACTGCTGTGAGTTTGAATTCTACCAGGGACTTTGGATTCTTTAATGTGAGAAAGCTATCCAGCTAGTTTTTGGAATGTTGATGGTTCTACTCAGGTACCTGTACATGCCTGAATTAATGTACGGAGAGGTACCTGAGGATTTTTCCTCCATTAGTAAAGCTGGAAAGTTACCATATGACCTTTACAGTATTGGTGCGACATAAAACCCAACAAAGAAAAAAGAGATTTCAGAAATTCTTAATTGTTGGCATTAGATTCAATGTATATTTTGGCTATTAACAAACTTCATATAACCAATGAAATACTTATGTTTTGTGGCAGAGTTGTCAATATTCCTGGCTTAAACTCACTTGCTGTTTGCCTATCATGACTGTATTTTTTCATATGAGAAAAACTATCCAGCTCACTAACAGAAGGTTAATGGTTCTACTCAGGTGCCAGCTTGTGCCAGACGTAATGCATGAATGGGTACATGAGGTCTTCCATTTACTAAAAATAGAAACTGTACCTTTAACCTCTACAGTGTCAATATGAGTCCCGACAAAAAATAGAATTAAAGCTTATAAAGTATAATTACAATCATTTTCTCTTACAGAAACTTATATTAGACACATTACATTTCTGTATGCGTGTGGACACAGAAAAAGCCCTGAAAGCAGATGCAATGCAAGTGTTTACCTCCCTTCTTTCACACAAAGATCCAGCCATCAGGGCTTGTGCTGCACGGGACATCATGGATCTCAGGTAAATGTTGTATTTTCGTTACAGGTATTCAATTTAATTTTGGTAAAGCAGCACAAAATGTCAATGGTCAAAGGTCTATCGATATTCATATGATACTTTATTATGATTTTCTGCATTTTATCATGATTTTTCTGCATTAAATTATCATGCATCTATCAAAAGCAAATGTTTCACATTGATAATAGTAGTTTTTATCAGCCCTTGACTATCAAACATTTAACTTTAAGCTAAAAGTTGTCTCCTCTACTTGTCGAACCATTCTAGACTGAGATTTCTGACTCCGGCAGCATTTCTGACTCTGAGTTCCATTCCTTTTCATTGTCCTCTTACTCTATTGCCCTTGTAATGTCTCTGCTGTCAAATAAGTTTATGTTTCTTATGCACAACTTTTCCTCATCCAAGCTGTCACTGAATGTTTTAATATCTCAACTCTGAGAAATTTGTGTATTTGATGCATCAAAGTCTGTGTTATTGTATATATGTATATCACAGTTTATTTGTCAGAAATTGTTCAAGTTTTAATTCTTTTACATTGAGGTTGTTGAATTTCATTATAATTATGTAGCATTTGTCAGAACTTTATTGTGAATTGTGATAAATTATCTATAGCATTTGTAAGAAATTAATTATGAATGGCTGCAACCTATATAGCTTATGTAAGAAACTGATTGCAATTTGTTATGACTTATAAGGCATGTGTCAGAATTTAATTATGAATTGTTGTTTAACCCTTTCCCCCATGAGCATATCGTGAAAAATGGCCATTTTAACTGAAAAGCCTCCTCTTACAAGTTCAAACTGCTATGAAACTATGAAAAATGCTTCAATACTAATCAAACTTGGCACAAATGTTGACTGGACCATTGCCTTTGTAACGACATGCTCAGTCTTAAATTTCCTGTTACCATGGCAACGAGGGACATCTCAAAATTGCCAAAAATCACTATTTTGCCTCGATTTTTTCCCATCAAAATTTATTTCAAAGTGCTGCAACTTCTCAATGGATTGAGATAGAGTCAAAGGCTTTCAGCGTTGGTTACACGTTACTTTATGATCAACCTGGGGTCATTTTAAGCCTCTCACAAGTCCAAAATTTTCTTGGCGATGAGGGGGACTCCGCCCCCCTTCAAACCCCCCAAACAGAAGGGGGCACATCCCCCTTCTGGCAAACCCCTGATGTATTATTTGGATGGGGGACGGCGCCGAAAAAATGGTCACTTTTTTAACAACATTTCTCAAACGAAAAACAGTGTTTGGGTCTAAATGGGACATTTTTTCACTGTTTGAGGCCTCAAAAGGGGGGGGGGGGGCAAAAAGCGTCGAAAACACGCTTATATAAGGGAAAAAAAGGTTAATTATATAATGTTTTTTAAGAAATTCATTTTAAGATGTTATGACTTATATAACATTTGTCAGAACTTAATTTTGAATTGTTTAAGCTTTTGTCATAAGTTAGTTATGAATTGTTACTGAACTGAACAGCAATTTTCAGAACTTTATGTATTGTATAGCATTTGTCAGAACTTAATTATGAATTGTTATGGTGATACAGTGCTCCTCTAGATGGAAAGAACAAGGCTGTAGAAGTGAATGCTGTACCAGCACTGGTTGGTCTGCTGGAAGACAAATCGCCTGATGTTAAAGCTAATGCAGCGGGAGCTCTTATGATGTAAGTTATTATCATATCTTTAAGTTCTGATCAGTGATTCCCTGATCTGGAAACTGCCGAAACTATAATTACATGTATGTTCTATTGGAAAAACCTTTTCCCTACTGAAGATTTGTTGACAAATTTAGAATTGACTGTTTTTTGTTTTGTAAAAAAAATACTATTCTCGCAAAAATAATTTATCATGTTATTAGAATTTACAATTGAAATTTTACTATTTATTATTTGAAATAAAAAGTTGTATGCTTTTTATCCTAAGATTCATGTAAGCAGATTCAGTCACTTAGTGGTTTTGAATAATTTTTGCCCTTCTCTGCTTGCTGCTTAAAAATGTACGGGTGTCAGCAGTCCTTCAAAAGAGGGAAGCCTACATATGTACCTTACATATTTGACTTTTAATTTGGTTAATTTGACAAATAAGCATCCTTGGCCGAGTGGTTTAAGGTTTTGTTGACTTCAAAACCACTTGCCCCTCACCGGGCTGTGGGTTCAGAATCCCGACAGGGACTTTGGATTCTTTCATGTGAGGAAGCTATCCGCTAGCTACGGAAACGTCGGTGGTCTCTACTCAGGTACCCATTTTCGTGCCTGAAATAAAAAAATGCACCCGGAAGGGCACCTTGAGGTCTTTCTCCACCCAGTTAAAGCTGGAACGTCGGATAATGACCTATTACTGGTGTCGATGTGACGTATGTAACCCAAAACAAACCAAACAATAAGTCAAATGGTTTTGGATAAAAATAGTGGATTGAAATTAAAAATAATATTACGTCACATTAGTGCAGTAATAATTTTAACACCTATAAAAATTATATAAGAAGTTAACCAATTTATCTGCACTTTGGTGACGAATTATGTTTATTTTATGAGATCTGTCTTATTTCAAGAATCACAATAACAACAAAAGGGAAAGTACATACAGCAATTAGATGCGAAAGCAATAACCACCAAACCTTGTCCCCTTGTTGACGAATCCTAAACCCAGTGAAGTGAGGGCAAAATTCTTTAAAGGTATGAAATTTTAATGATCAAAAGATATTTCAGATATTTAAACGGGGCAATTTAAAAGACAATGAAATGTCATGTTTATTGCCTTTTTGGATTCCTAATTAATTTATATCAATATCCGTACTTCTTTTCTCATAAATGCCGAATACCAAACCAGGTTCTATGTAAATTATTTTGAAAGGGCAAAAAATATGTACATTTGTTAATATTAAAAGTAATATAAATAAAACAGAACAAAAAAGATGTAGATTTTCCCCAGCACATTTGTGACAGTTATTATATTTTCTAGGACAGCTAAAAGCACAAAGCTAATTATGCATGAAACTAAAAATTAACTTCTTAAGAAATGTTTGTCACTGTAAATAAAATATTGATAATTATGAAAAAGGAATTTTGAACACGACTTCACATATTCAAACCCTTGACTTCAAGATTGTGTTAAAATGGACTAGTCCTGAGTTAAACTTCTAAAAACTTGGAGCAGTCCATTTTATAATTTAAAGGTATTCAGCATCAAAATGCTAAAATAATAGAGTATTAAGTAAGACTGTTGAAATTTGCCAGCTGACCTGCCTCTATACTGAAGAATTCAAACTTTTTCACAAAAAAATGACTGTTCATCTTTAGCCATGTCCTGTTGTACCATTAGTTTAACAACTACAAAGAACTGCTTTCAACATACAATTAAACAATGCTGTATAAATTAAGAGGAGCACTATAACTTTTTGTGCATTTATTTAACATTCATTTAACCATTAGTAAAATATGTACTTTATGGAAATTGATGATCACTTGCAATTGAAATTTATGCAAAACTGAAGTACTCTCTAATTGAAGTGGATAATTCAAAAACAATGTACTGAAACATGTTCAGTTTTGTTCATACTGACTTTATTTGACTTGGTAAGGGTTTAAAACTAACTGCACACTAACTTATAAGATCTTTGAATAATAAGTATTGCTCTGCTTGACATATAACAGATCAAATTACCTTTAGTTTTCAATGACTTTTTAGATGCATATTATTAAATTTAACATAATTCCAAGCGATAATTTATATGTTTCATTTTATTTTATAAATATTTTTTTTCTTATCTTCCCACTTGCTTATTTGCACAAAAACAACTAGACTTTCAAAAAATAACATTTTTGGATCTATTCATAGTGCAAAGCCTTTTACCACTTGGTCTTCCCATTTTGAGTGTCTGTTACTTGCCTGTGGGATTAAAATCATGGCAAGGGATTTTGTATTACTTTTGTTTATACTGTTTATTTAGTTTGTGTTGAAAGCTATAAGGGCTTATTGAAAACACTCTTCAAGTCAGTTCCTGGAACCAACCAGTACTAAAGCAATAAGGTAAAGTTTTTTGCTCACAGAAAAACAACTGCTTGCCTCTTCATTTGGGGTTTATCCTCAACCCATTCAAGTTAATACTTATGAAATACTAAGTCTGGCGCACCAACCACTTGTATTAGCATATTTTATGAAAGGTTGGTTTCATTTCTACTCAGGTGCCCTTGTGCCAGGATAATCATTGCAACGGTACCTGAAGTCTTTCTTTTACAAGTTAATCTAGAAATTTAACAATGTAGTCAATAATATTTTAAACCTTAAAGCAGTGACTTGAAAAGACCTTGTTACCTTATTACCTTTAAAGTCAGAACAAAAATTCAAGCTGACTTGTCTACCTCATGAAGGGCTCTCTCTATATAAGAAGATGATTAAGCTATGCAACAACTTTTTTTTGTTCTCATCTTTTATATTTTTTGGAAAATGTGCTTTAAATCAATTTTGCTTATGCAGTAGCATCGAGAAAATGTTTCATATTGGTGAGAGAAACAGACATAACAAAAATGAAAAAAAAAGGGAAAAGATACGGCCTTTTGGGGCACAAAGCTGTAGGTTTAGATGTCATATTAAACATTGGGGTTTTTTTTTTTTCTATGGTATATCTAATGACAGCTCAAAATAATTTTCACACATGAAAAATAACCCGTAGCAAAAAACTTTATTACTTACTTAATATATAACTTTTTATGTTATTAAATTTATAAACCCTAGACGAAATCAAACGTCTTGTGTTAAATGTTCAAGTTTCAAATTATTATATTGAAAGTTTTAAATTGCCGGCCTGGGAATAAAAAAACTGAAAATAGGGATAGTCGTTTGTGGGTTTATTAAAATTTAAACCATTTATGAGTGGTAATTTCATGTCAACGTGATACTTAAAGTCGGTATTAGAATAGTCGTTACTGTATTGTATTATACTTTTATTTTCAATGTTTTGTTTCAAAGCTTTTGAAAAGAAAGGAATTTATGCAGTTTTGCTTGGGTTTCACATTAAACATTTAAAATACAAAGTTTTTGAGGCACAAAAGTGAAGAAAAAGACTAATTTGAATATTCCCCTTAAACGAAATGTGTATTACCTGTTCTTTACATATTAATTACAAATTACCATTGTGGTAGAAAAAACCTATAAATACAAAATGGTAACTAGTTTATGAAAAGTTAGTTTTAGGCATTGAAGTAATGAAATTGCAATTTTTATCATTCACACATACATTGATTTAATCAATTTCATGCATGCAGTGGTCTATCAATTGTCATGCATGGCACTTAACTGTTTCCCCTTATTAGGGTGTACCCATTTAAGGCTGTTATTTTGTATGTATGTTAATATGGGGTTAAAACACTTTACAATAAATGTTCCACATTAAATGTTTGTGTCATATATTAAAACCATTATCAATACATATATGTATTTTCATATTACTTGTGGTATTGTTAACATGGTTGTTCATACTGCAAAAAGAAACATTATGTAAGACCAGATGATGTTGTTGTTTCTTTCAGGCTTTAACATGTTTATCAGAGGCTCCAGAAGGCAGAAGTACACTGTTACAACATGTTGACAAGGTTTGTATCATGTTTTGTTTGATATTCGTGTATAAAGCTTTATTTTAGTCATTTATAAAATGTAGCTTTGTTAAATATAAAAATATGCATTTTTTTTAATTTATTCAACAAAGAAAAAAAATAAAGGTCAAGGAAAATGACCCAAATCTTCTCAAAGTCACTCATGAGCAAGAACATTAATGAGCAAAATCACTCATGAGCTATGTCCTTTATGGTTAAGATTACTAATGGGAAAGATTATTGATGAGCAAGGTTACTAATAAGCAAGATCACCATTGGGGACGTTTACTTTAGACCAATGTCACCAGTGAGCAAGGTCACAAACAAGATAACAAGTCAGCAAGGTCACCTGTAAGCAAGGTCACTTATGAGCAAGGTCACTTATGAGCAAGGTCACTTATGAGTAAGGTCTATTATGAGTAAGGTTACATGTGAGCGAGATTGCTACTGAGTTAGGTCACTGAATCTATAAGGAAGACTTTTTTGTCGAGATTTCAAATAATTAGTCCTTATTAAGCTAAGTTTGAGCAAAATTGTCTGAGCTTTAGCATTCTGTATGGCTAGCTATTTTCTCCCTATCTTTTCCTGTGCAATAAAATCTTGAGGAAATGTTATGATATCAAAAACCTAGTTTATAGTCAGTTGTTGCAGCTGAATAGTGACAGCTTGGCTGGTCCAGAAATGCGGTCTCTTTTTGGTTTAACACACAAAAAAGGCTAACAAAATGATATAGATGATTTAAAATGCATTTGAGAAAAATTAGGAACTCCTCAAATCATTTAAGTTAGAAGCTATACAACCTTATCATTATTTCAGAAAAGACCTCCTATTTAGGTAAATAAACTAAAAGGTTTACACTGGTTGCACTTATTATGCATAACCCTATAAAAAGTTTTCTTTCAAGTGGAATGAAATTTGAATTTCTATCATTCATATTGGCAATATTTTAATGAGATATAAAACTTACTGTCAAAACTGGATCAATACAGATGTTTTCTTCCAGTCTCAGGGAAAAATGAATTCTTCCCTATAACTACTTTGATTCAGTTTAGATCAGTTTAAATCTATAAAAATTAAAGGACACAATGTGCAACTATCAAAAGCCAGAACAGTTGTTATTGTGTGTTCAACATACAAGGATATAATATAAAAGCTTAGAGATTATCAATCATGAGTTTTTGACAAACTAGAAAATGTAATTTACAAGAAAACAAGGGCAATTTTAACCCCCCCGAATTTTTTAATGGAAATTCCCTGCTTTTAATTCGAATGGCCCAATTGTGAATTAGGGAATTCAGGACCAATTTCAATAAAGATAAATTTGAGCAGCCAAAAAATAGAATTGGGGTTACAGGCGTATGAAGGTTTTAAAATTTAGAGTTTTGTTTAAGGTGTCTGCCTCTGAACAAAATCATGTTGGTTTTACGCCCTACTGGAGTCCTGATCAATTTCTTCATTACACCAGTCCTGGCTAGTTTCCAAAACACAGGCTTACGCGGTTTAAATGAGCGTCAAACTTGGGTAAAAAGTTGTTTAGTACTGCAAGTTAGTGAGGGGGTTGCTCTTATTTCAAGTGTACAGGCTGGTCAATAATTTAAAGCTCTGTAAAAATAAGTTAAGAAATTAAATATAGGT